CTTGACCACCCCTCAATATTCAAATAGAGTTTGTAATGTCGCTGCTTTTGGCTGAACTTGTGACTCTAGAGACTTTGACGTTTACTCTACCAAGTGGGAGTGAATCTAGTAACAACAAATTCTGAGGAATCTCGTAAGACCAACGGTTGATCAAGAACTTGTACTCGGATTATCGTTCTTGATTCCATGGATGTTCGAAATCAATATACAAAAACACGGATTAATTAGTGTCTGGAATTTGAATATGTTAACGGAAAAGATAAAATCAAGTTTGGAGTAATTTGAATTTCCATCAAATTTTATATACACGTGACAGGAATCTCTCGAACCGGTAAAAATGCGATCTCTCCATAATTTGATCAGTTTAAACCGAACCAACCAAGAGAATCGAGATCGGAGCGCCGACGTCGAATAGAAGGAAGAAGACGCGACGAGAGAGCGAGCGGTTTTCCGATGAAGACGCCGACGCTCCTCCTTCTCTTCCTATCCTTCTTATCCGTTATTCTTCCATCGTCAAGTGGGCAAGGCGAATGGGAGATCCTAACGGAGCAAAACTTCTCTTCTCAGATCCGTCTCCACCCTCATGTCCTCCTCTTTGTCACCACTCCATGTACTCTCACTCTCTCTTGCGTATATATTCATAGTTTGCGTATAAATATACTTGGGATTGCCTTTGTGGAGATGTTTTCAGTGTCCTTATTTGTCTTCTGACTGATTTTATTGCTTGATTCATAGGGTGTGGTGAGTCCAGATCTCTTAAGAATGAAATTGCTCAGATGGTTCAAAGTAGGGAGGAATTTGGCTTGTTGAAGTTAACGGTTGTATACAGAAACTCAGAAAAGGTGTTAGCACAAGCCATTGGTGCTGCCAATGGAATAACAATTTTGTACTATCACAATAGTGTGCCTTACAACTATCTAGGGAAACTCCGAGGTTCAAATATATTGTCCTCTATTCATCCTTATCTGACATCTACTCCTGAAGAACTCCCTCTCAAACATTTGAAGTCTCCAAAGAGTTTGAAAGATTTTCTTGAATCATCTGACAAGGCTTTACTTCTGTTCGAATTTTGCGGATGGACTACTACGCTGCTATCTGAGCTGAAGAAAAATGTTACTGAAGATAACCTTTGGCAGGGTGAGTTTGATCTGCTGTTGTTGACTCTGGCTCTACATGACGAGGGATAATCCTGATCTTTTGAGATTATTTATTACACACTCCCGATAGTGCTCTTGGTTTTCTTAAAACTTCTAGTTTTATTTGATGAAAAATTGGAATGTTGGGATAATCCTTAAGAGATTCTGATCATTACTTTGCAGGAAACTTCTCCAGAAAAGTAGAAACTGATCGAGTGCTGAAGCTAAGAGGAAAAAATAACCAGAAGGTGGCTGGTAGATTCTCACTTCATGTATGTTGATATGTTCTTGTAGGTGCATTGCTTCCATAATGTTAATTTTCTTTGCACCCTGGAAACATGCTATGCAGAATGGAACAATATGTGTGGACTCCAAAGTGGATTTGGTAAAGTTCCTTGGCTTGAGGATTTTAGCTATGCCAATGATACTGCTGCTTTGCAGGAACATGGCAGGGTAAATCTGGGGTTTGGACAGACATGTAACCATGAAGATTTCAAGCAATTTAGTTCATTCCTCTCTAAACTGATTGCCACCACAAAAGAGTTTTCTCTGCCTCCTGAAAGGCAAAAATTTGGTCTGATTACAGAAGAATCATTGGCTTCATCATTTAATATTGGAAAATCTGATTCGTGGGCAGCGGTCCTTCAGCTGGCAGGATGTCCACATTGTTCAAAGATTTTCAAGGCCGGGGACGACATTCAGAGATTTTTAAAGATGGAGAATCCGGTAGTCACAGAGGTATGGTTCTCTTTATGTCTCTATATTTAGTTGACTTTGCATATTCAAGCAAGATCTCTATGTTGTTTGAGTCAATACAATTTGAAACTGTCAGTTGTGTTTTTGTTCGTTTTATTGATTTAGTTGTTATTTTACTTCCTGCCCATGTTTATTAAGCTTATATAGTTGTGTCCATTTAAATTTTTCCATCTTGCCGTACATACATCAATCTTCTTTGTTTTTCTCATCTAGCTGGAGGACGACTGGCAGGACCATGAGTCATCTTTACCTGCAAGTAAACCCTCAGTTATTCTTTTTGTGGATAGATCAAGTGGGTCCTTGGAGGAGAGGAGAAGGAGTATGAAAGCACTTGATACTTTCAGAGAGGTAGCTGCACAGCATAAATTGTCTGACATAAAACAATGGGAGAATGATATTAAGTATGAGAAATCCGTTAGCCAGGCTGATAAAAAATCGGGGTCTGTGTCACTTCCAAAAACTGTCCAAAAGTTTAAGAAAATTAAGTTAGAGAATAAGGTCTCTTTTATGATTTTGGATGGGGATAAACATGTAGCCCTAGATACTGCAGCGCCAGGTATGGAAGGCAGTTCCCTGCAGGAGATACTGACAAATCTTTTTCACAGAAGAAAAGAAAGTAAATTGAGCTCGCTTGCTAAGGATGTTGGTTTCCGTCTGTTATCTGATGATGTGCACATAAAAGTGCTGGATGCGTTACCGTCACAAGCAGAAGTTGTGTCTAGTCAAGATACAACTTCATCTTCTGCAGAAGGTTCCAGTGAAATTTCTCTTCACCCTAAAGATGCAGAGGTGCAGAACAGAGTCAGTATGAGTTCTGAAGAAAAAGATGAAATGAAATCCTCTGAAACTGAATCCTCCTCCCCTAGTGATGAAGAGCAGGTTACTACAAATAGGAGTGAACAATTAGTAATGGCAGAAACCGATAAGACTGAGGTTTATTTGAAAAAAAATATTAATGGAGAGATCAAGGTATCGTTGCACTCAGAACCGAAGGAAGATCTAGTGCATAAATTCACGGGTTCATTTTTCTTCTCTGATGCAAATTATGTATTACTGAGGGCTCTTACTGGTGATGTAAAGATTCCATCAGCAGTAATTATTGACCCTGCTTTACAACAGCACTATGTCCTTCAAGATAAGTTCAGCTATTCGTCACTGGTCGACTTTCTTGATGGATATCTCAATGGAAGTCTATCTCCTTATACACAGTCTGAATCTAGCATTCAGACGCCTAAAAAAGCTACAGTTCCACCTTTTGTTAATCTGGATTTTCACGAGGTGGATTCTATTCCCCGTGTCACAGTCAGTACCTTCTCCCATATGGTTCATGCATGGGATCAATCCAGTGCAGAGAAGGCTCCTTGTCCTCTGTGCCAGGACGTTTTGGTCCTTTTTAGTAATAACTGGTGTGGGTTTTGTCAGAGGATGGAGCTAGTTCTGCATGAAGTATACCGTTCACTAAAAGAATATAAAGCGATTATACAAGGAGGATCTACGAACAATCAAAGGTTCAAATCAGGTATGTGATATAGATTGACTAGTGTTCTTACTCCTATTTTCTATCTGAGTGTACTAATTGTAATATTGAAAGTGAAGTGGACATGTTTTTAAAGTTTCTTGTTTCTCTTCTTCTGTTGCTTTTTCTGTTCTGAAGCAGAGACACCAACTAATGGCGAGAATCTAAAATCTCCACTTATCTACTTAATGGACTGCACGTTGAATGATTGCAGCTTAATCCTAAAATCAATAAATCAGGTACTTTTCATGATAGCTTGTCTAATTTTTAGTCTGGTTTGTTTTATTTATTCTAGTATATCCATATCACAGTTTTGCTATTGAGTAGTTAGAGCTTATGATTGTATACACCATATTCTCATTTCTGAATCCAGTATTCACTCGCTCTATGAATCTGTAACATTGCAGAGGGAAGTGTATCCTTCTCTGATATTATTTCCAGCCGAGAGAAACAAAGTCACTCCATATGAAGGGGAGACATCTGTAACTGACATAACAGAGTTTCTAGCACGCCATGCAAATAACTCTCGTGGGTTTTTCAGTAAGTCAGCATCTGAATCCTTGTTTATTCACTTGTTTACACATTTATGCTAAATATTATCTCTTAAGTGTCTGACCTTCTAGGACAATACTGTAGGAACATATTTCTGCAGAATCTTAACATGCTCTACAACTTGTGATTCAGTTATTTCGTAGTAACTCGTTTTTTTCCGGCCTTAGCTGGTTGCTGAGGAATGCTTTTGGCTTTTTATACTTCTGTTTTGATCTGAAGCATAAACAAAGTAAGTTATGAGTCTTTCTCTGGCAGGACTCCTTCCTACTCTGTCTAGAAATGGAAGAAGAAACTCAAACAAGTTGGATCAATCTTCATCTGCGGTAGACTATAAAGTGACAGATGGTGATAAACTTGTTGAGGTCGTTTTAAGGAACAGAGAGCCCGCTGAAAGAGAGGTAAACCATTACCAGGTCAATTCCGAATCGCCTCCAACACACTCGCTCACAACCGCTCCCCAAGTGAAAACCGGCACAATCCTGGTCGCTACAGAAAAACTAGCTGCCTCCCAACCATTTGCCAAATCAAAGATTCTGATCATAAAAGCAGGCCCTGAATTCGGTTTCCTGGGTCTAATCTTCAACAAACGGATAAGGTGGAAATCGTTCCCTGACCTAGGGGAAACAGCCGAGCTCTTGGAAGAGACTCCTCTATTGTTCGGAGGTCCCGTCGTGGATCCAGGAATACCACTTTTAGCTCTGACCCGAGAGAAAGACTCATCCACGGACCATGATCACCCGGAAATCTCACCAGGCGTTTATTTCTTAGATCATCAATCAGTGGCCCGTCGAATCCAAGAGTTGAAATCTAGAGAGCTAAATCCAAGTGAGTACTGGTTTTTCTTGGGATACTCAAGCTGGAGTTATGAGCAGTTGTTTGATGAGATAGGTCTTGGAGTATGGGATGTTGATAACAGTGACATTGACTTTGCTTGGCCTTGAAGCTGTGACATTGCATCTCGTGAAATGTTTTCTTTTACTTTTTTTTTTTTGGTTTTAGAAAAAAGAAAAAAAGAATAGAAGATAGTAAAACCCATCATGTGGTTAACTGTAAGAATAACACTTAAAAATGTCTTCTCTACAATTACAACAGATAGAATTACATTAGCTTCTTTTGAGATCATTCCTCTTGCAGATTACTTGTAAAAGATGAATCAAACTTAAAATCTTAATAATCAATAGGAAAACATCTTAATAAGCAAAAGCAATACACACTAAGCAATTCATTCATCTCTCTTTTTGCTAGTCTTGTGCTCTAAGTAGCAAATCTTATTCTCGGGATCAGAAAATGCTAAGAATGCCTCTCTGTGAGTTACATGAGCCTGAATATGAGTCAACGATGCAACGTATAAAGGCGACCACATCCTCACACCAGTAAGATTATTGAGGACATTCATTGAATAAAACACCGTACTAGTCTTGTCATCTGATGGCTGCTTATTGCAGGTTCGTAGTGCGCTAAGTGAAGGGATTCTAGCTGCAAGAATATCGAACAGGTCGTCTGTAAAATCATCATACATATCAGCAATCATTTCAGACATAAGATAATCCATAAGGATTTTTCCATAGCTCGCAGAATTCTCATCAGACTCCTCCTCTGTTGAATCATCAGACATATCATCATACTCTTCAGAATCCAAACTGTTTTCCCCAACGCTTGATCCTTTCGATCCGCTTGCATGATCATTGTCAACTTCCACTTTAGAATTATCCATATTACCTTGGTCTAATATTTTCTAGCTTCATGCCAACTCCTATAATGAAATTGAACAATTCAATGTTACAAGAGCATATCTGTAACAACAATAATAATAATCTAAGCTAAAATGATCAGCAAAACATGGAAAATCAGATCAACGAAAAAACAAAATCTAGCACTAGAATTCCATAATTTCTGAGGAACAAATCTAGTCAAAATCTCAAAATCCGATTACCTAGTTTCCGATAAATCATTCAAATCAAACTGAGAGAAGCAAAAAGAGACGAAGAAGAAGATATCAGTACCTATTTAGAAATCAGTGGCGATGGAGAAGCTTTTCTGGGTCCGAGGGTTTTAAGAATTGGGGCAGGTAGGGCTCTTTTGTGGTTTCCAGATTAAGGTAAGGGTATTTTGGTAAAACTCTCAGCTTACATACTAGTTTGAATTTATTTTTGTTTGGAGTATGAGAAAAAGACACGTACGTCGAGAACCAAAAGACTGGTGTTGAGTGGTAATACCGGATAAGGTTTGCAATTGCATGGTCGAGGACCTTAGCTTCTTCTTCTTCACAGACACAGAGCGAATCATCATCCATGGCTGTACGTTGTTTGTTCTCTCCAAATCTCTTGAACTCCAAGAACAAAGTTTCCGGCAATAATCATCACCTTCCCTTTTCTTCCCTCTCCAAGAAACACCAAGCTTCTTCCGTATTTTACTTCTTCTCTGCTTTCAACTTTTCTTTTCATTGCATGTTTTTTTTTATTGTTCTGGGTTTGGATATGTAAAGAGTCCTCACAATTTGTTTGGATCCAAACCCAATGTTTTAGGCAGCCATTAATGGAGGAGGGAGCTCAAAAACAGTGAAGCGTCTGATCACTTTATCTCCTAGTGAAGGAAAATGGAATGGAAACTGGAACACTCAGTACGATGTCTCTCTGCGTGATCTTCACCTTCAAGATCTTGTTGAAGATGGCCCTCCCAATTCCCGTGTCTCTGTCGACCTCTCTGTCCAAAGGGTAACTATCTTCTACACCACTGTGTTGTGAGCTTAGCTATGCATTTATGGTTTAATGTGATGATGAAGTGACAGTGTTTGAATATTAGAATCTGTCTTCTCTCTTACCCAATCAATCATTTAGTGTTTTTACTTGTCTAGCACGCGAGCATGGGCCTCTCAGTAGATGGAAGAATCATGACTTCTATCGCAAGAAAGTGCAGCATTTGCTCTTCTCTTTATCCTCGACTGGTAACTGTTTAACTCTAAAGAGGTTTCTTGAAAAACCCTGTTAAGCATCCGAGAAAAAAACTGTTTTGATGACCAGATTGATACAAGTTTCACTGTCTGGATTTTGCCATCAAGCCGGGAAAATCGAGCTTCAACACTGCCAGAAATTGGCGGCGATGATCCTTCGGTAGAACATCATAACCTCTCTCTACATATTCTATCTGCATCTCACCAAATTGAGATGAGTAAAATCTCCTCTGTTGGCAGGTAATATATGTGAGACCTGGATATGAAGCTAACCTTGATTCCCTTGTACAAGACACTATCCGACTCACAACTTATGCTAAAGTAAGATTCAGTTTCAAAGTTTCATGTAATCCATAAGGCCAAAATCTGAGATCGATTATGCATATATCTTGCCTTCATGAATCTTGCGTGTGGAGTGTACATGTTTCACTTAAATTGTTATTTACTTGTAGGATATATGCTCCGATTCCTGCGAAAAATCGGAACCAACACTGCATTGTAAGCAACATTCTGTTGGTTTTGTTTCTTTCCTATTTTCACATGACATGTTTGTTAATTGGTTCATAAGGATTAAAGAGTTTTGGTTTTCTCAATTGCTTTTGCAGACGTTGGTGAGACAAATACAGCTTCTGTTCATAAGCGATGGTCAAGACTACTTGAGCTTAAGAAGAAGTAGAAACCTTTAAATTCTTTGAATCTCTCTGTTCAACGTCGTCAAAGTCTCAAAAGATGTTGATACTGTTCATATTCAAATATGTAATGATTTTTATAACATGTAAATTTGTGAAATTGATGATGAGGCTAGAACGCTGTCATATGACGTTTTGCAAATAAAAATCTGTTTCTCTCTTTTGATTATTGATTCTAAAAAAAAAAATCATATGATGATCTTACAAAAAAAGCTATAGCTACTTCAGATTCACTTTTGAACATTATTGTACACCTGGTCTTGAGTTTTATGACAGTAAAACAGACAAGATGAAGAAAAAAGAACAATTGTTGTTGAGTTTAGTTCCTCAGTCCCTCTTTTTGTTGCATTTGCTCTCTCAGGTTTCCGAGAGGTCCATATCCTTTATCCTTCTCTTCTCTGCCACAATCACATTTCCTCTTATTCAGATTCGCACCGCATTTCAAGCACATTCCTTTACATGCAGAATCGCATATCGCAGTGATGGTGATTTCTAAATGCACCAAGTCTCTTATATGCTTTGAGATATCTATTTCTTTCACCTCAGGTGGAAAATGAAGCGTATCCTCCCAATCTATCCATGAATCATCATCATCATCATCTTCGCCTTCTTCTTTATCATTCGACAATCCAGAGAAGGAATTGGCTTTGTCACCTCCGAATGTGAATCCTAGATCAATGACATCGGGTTCTTCAACTGGATCTTCGGTTAGTAATAGCGAGAAGTTGGAGAAGATGCTCTCACCTGTTGACTCACCACATCTTCAAACACATAAGAGAAAACCGGTAAATAACAAAGTTGATGCAATCACAGGATAGTAAAGAAGCTGTGATTAAGTTCACAAGAAAGCACCTATTGCAGCCGAGTGTGATAACAGTCCTGACAATTCCATCGAGTCTCAGTTTCTTCTTCTTTCTTATGACATCAACCGAAACTTGCACCGGCGTGCCATCTGGATAATCCTTTACATCTTTTGTCACTCTTAGTCCCATTGCGGAAGCTCTCTTCTTCGAGACCTCTGTTGACAATCTTCCCAACCCAAGCCTCTCTAAGGTAGTGCAATATTCCACATGTGTAGCTGAAGCATTTCTCCTATACATAACCGAACCTTCCCAAGGTGACCCAGTATCCTCAATTTCCTCCTGATCTTCCCAATCCATATCTATTGTGCTGGTCTCTGTAAAAGACTCCTGACTAGCTAATATCCGACTCTTTGCTAGCCAACGAAGCTTAAGCGGTTCTGTGAACAAGTAACTGATATGCTTCCTGGTAAAATTAGGGTAGCCGGCGGGAGAGCATAAACTTAAGGTACATGTTTCGAGTTTCAGAAAACTTGGACGCGACTGTCTAGTCTGTGATAAGGGAGCTACACAAGATGAAGAGCAAACCAGAGACATTTTCGTAGCGAAGGTTACAACAAGAGGCAATCTATCAAGGTTTATCAAACAATCATGCTAAAATATGGTATAAAATCCAGCCAAATCCCCAATAGGATTGGGTTTGTTGAGCTTGAAACAGAGCATACAAGAATTAAACCACCTGCAAGAAACATTTGCTGATATAGTGTCAACAATATAAAAGACAGAAAATCTTGAGAAGTGAAATAATCTTCAATTATTTTTGAAAAGAATGAACTGGCTATCGAGAGCTAATGTAACTAAAGGAATTTGAGCTAGGCATTTCGTCGAACACCTTCTATGCACCATTTTATATAGATAAAGGACAGACCTTTCCACTTCCAATTAACAGCCGCAAACATCATGACAGAGACGGAATCGAGAAACAAGCAAGTAATTTCGAATACAAAGATACAAGAAGGATTAATAAATCGAAATTACTTACCACTAAGAAGTGCTTTAACGCTTTAGACGATCGACTCTGTAAAATTTCTTTCAGAAACAGAGCTCTTCTTTACTCGGAAATGGCTGCTTAGTTTATCCTAAAACCTCACCCGGTCAATTTCGGTTCAAATACCGGTTTACATCAAACCAAACCGCGTCCCAATCAAACCATGTGACAAAGCATATTCTGCCTAGACAGAGAAGATGGATTCATTGTTTGCCATATACTTTCTTCTATGCCAGTTCTACAGATTCCAATTTTGTTCTGATAAGACCTTTGTTTGCTGGATATGGCATTCTTATGGTAAAATAAGAAATTCAAGATATTTGAAGTTGGAGTTTCAGAAAGTCTCGGAGAGCATATGAGACGCTTCAACTTGGACATTATTGAAAAGGTTACTAATGTTTTTATCATCAACTTATGAAGCTTCAATTGCTATTCTCCCACTCTTTGATCCACTTTCGTGGTTGTTGCTAAGTTCTCTTGTCATGTTGTAGGCCGGCTTATGTATCAGCACAGAGCTAGACTATGTATATGAACTGGTCAGTTGATTTTACATTCTGTTTCTCCATTCTTTATAATCCATGCTTTCCTAAGCTCAGATCTTGATGCTTTCAAAATTGAGGTCTTAACATCTCACTTTCCTTTCCTTAGAGAAACTTAAAACCTTAAATGGAATGATTATATTGTAAAATCTGAGGCCATCCTCCATTTGCAAAAAAAAATTGAGTGGCTAAAGGAAGCTCAGCTAAGATTTATTCTGAAAAATTCACAATTTTAAGGTTATTCAGAAGTTGGATAACCCAACATTTGAGAAACTGGGTTAAACAAATTCAGCAGGCCTTTGACTGAGAGATGTGTATGACTACTGTTTTTCAGTAACAACAGACTTTAACTCCACAGGTCATTGGAGTCATTGATGTAACTAGAAGCAAAGAGAGGGGATATCAAACATTGGTGAAAGAAGGGTTCTGTGCTGAGGTTATCATAGAAGTTCATTTTGTTCAGGTTGTCATACCACTAATCTTTTGTTATCTTGCAAGTAACTCATTTCTTATTTTACCAGTTGGATGAGCTGAGGCAAATATACGAGGAGTTGCCAGAGTTTCTGCAGGAGGTTTGTTCTATGTGATAAGTTCCTTTAATTGATAAATGAAGGCAAACTGGAATCTCTCTTGAATGATTCTAATTACTGACAGGTTTCAGCGAAGGAGTTAGAACACTTTCCTCATTCGCATAAGGAAAAGCTTCCTCCTTGTATCGTCTATATATTCAACAAATTGGTGGGTCTGAAGTTTCACGTTTTAGCTTTCGCATAAGTTCTATACAGTGTTATATACTAGCTATTTTTTAACATAATTACCTTTTGGAATTTCATCTCATCCCTAAGAAAGGTGAGATTTAGCTGCACGAATTCATTTTTGGGAACCACATGTCCTGGAATTATCAGCTCAACTATGGTGTCTATGCTTCTTGATTGCTCAATAGCCTTTCACTCTACGATGCGTCTCTTACAAATCACGACCACATGTATTTCTTCACACTTTGATAACAGTTATTTTGTTTCTGTAAATGAATATATAGTTTTTAAATGAATATTGGTAATCAATATTCAAAAGCTGCGGATATCACATATCATTTCTAGTCTCTCCTCTTAAAGAAAAGCAACACTTGTTCGCGTTCCTACTAACTAATTAGCTATTTATGAGAAATGACTTATTCATTCTTCTTGGTTTTTCAAGCATTTTATCGTTGGCTTGTGTATCCCATCAGAATAACTACGTAAGGCCTGTCCTGACAATAGAATCATTGCTTGTAATTCGAAATGGAAGGTGAAGTTGACTCTGTCAGCTGCACTTATCTCTTGTTGTTGCATTTATAAATAAACTCCTTACGGAAAATTATATCTGTAAAAATCAGTACTGGTGGGCAGGCATATATTGCAGGAAATGGCTGTGGATACATTTATCCCGAGCGACACTGAAATCAATGATAATGGTGAGCTGATTGTTGATTGAATTGTTTTGACTATATATAGGCGTGCATTACAACTTAAACTTGTGAACTAGTCTTATTTCTCTTCGTCCAACCAAATTGTACTTCGCCATCATGAATTGACAACTCAAGTTCTGACTTGCTATTTGTAGGTGGCTTTACTTGTTTTCCTATCCCATATTGGAAGCTTTGTACCAGCAGATGCAACAACTATTGGTTTAACTGACAGGTCTTAACGTCATGCATTATTTTTTATCCTTTTTACAATCGCTTTTTATGTATATTTTCGTTACTAAGATTAGTCGTACTACAACAAGATCTTTTGTGCAATGGGAAGCAAGTTCATGACTGCGGAGCAATCTACATTTATGAAAGATCTGCATCAGGGAGGAATGATGCTCAGGTATTCCAAACTGCTTCTATTTTTAACTTGATTTCAAGCAGCTCCACTACTGATAGGCCTTGTGAGCCGGTCTCAATCGCTTCAGTCAGTTAGTGACTTCTAGTTCACGAGCTCCATTATTTAAGTTCATGGGGACCAAAGAATGAAAATATCAATCAAAATTCAACTGTGCATTGTTCATGACTTATGATCGTGTTCCTAATCATTGTGACTGATTTGAATTCTCTAGGCAGGCAACTTCAAGATCTGTGTGTCTATTAGACGAGTTTGGTAAAGGCACTCTAACAGAAGGTGAAGATTTCTCCACCCTCTGCATTGGATAAAAGGCATGTGTTTGTGAAAACTTCTGCCTTACCCACACTCTTATTTGAAGTACAGATGGTATTGGCTTGCTTGGTGGGAGAATTATTTCATACGAGAATGGATGAGTGCCCAAAATGAAACTATTTAACCCAAAATATTAATTATATATTTTGGACTGATAAAAAGTAACTGAAAATATGAAAAAAAATAAACAATTAAAAACTCGAAAATATCATTTATTGTTATACCGAAATAACTAAAATACTTAAAATAAGCAAAATATCTTCGAACCAAATTTTATACAAATTTAACCATTTTTTTAATTTATTTCGATAATTCTAAAATAAATGGATCCGAACCTCGAACAAAAAGTTTAAAATATTTGAAAGGGTTATAGATGCTTCAATCTAAAATAAATGGTACCGAACGGGTGAAGTCAATGTTTATAGTAAAGATATATGTGTCGGTTTCGGAAGCATTAAGTTTTTAAGTTGGTCAGAGAACATACAAATTTGTGGGGTTTAATTATGTTTATTGTTTTGTGTTATTGTTTGTATAAAAAAAACAGTACGAGTAAGAATGGAAAACAGTTTGCGGAGTAATAATTATCAAGAAAAAAAGAAGATGTTAATAATTGTGGATAATATATAACCGTCTATATAGATACTAAGCAAGCTTTTGTAAAAAGAGCTGAAGTAATAATAGTGGATAATACATAACCGACCGTCTATATAGATCCTAAATAAGTTTTTCTAGAAAGAGCTGAAGTTATAACTGTGGATATATATATATATATAAGTTTTTGTTAGCTATCCGGGATCACTATTGGATGATCTTCATCTTTCTCCGAATTATACTCTTCTTTCTAGAAAGAGGTGGAGAAAAGTGAACTCTAGACGATGCGGTAGTGCACGACAGCCAAGATTCCATGGCTGTCAGGGAGAAAAGGAAACAAGTAGTTAGTATTAAAAATAGGTATATAACAAAATTGTTTTTTTGGGAAACTTACCGCTGAGACTTGCGGTGGTCCCTCCGCCGGTATGCTTCATTCACAAAATTGGTACTCTCCGTATACCTCACACCATCCAGGGTCCCTCTATGTGGATTTCCACCGTCAAAGTGTTGCCAAAGCCTAAAGGGAAAAAGTTAAATAAGTCTGTAGGAAGAATAGTATGAAATTATGTGAGAGTATACATGAAACTTACATATCATCTCTGTAGGCCTCGACATTGTAAAGAAACAGTCCTATACTTCCGTTTCGGGCAGAAGGTGTAGACACAGTCAGAGAGTTAGCATTCTGAAGAATCAGGTTAAGCTCATGGCCGGTTAACCACCGGTTTCGAGAATCAGTCATTATCTGACCCACAACATCTACACATGAATATCAAACATGGATAAATCAAACTATATCAGGAAATCATTTCATGAATTTCAAATTTCAGAACAACAATGAAACTATATCATGAATCGGAATCAGGTTAAGCTCATGGCCGGTTAACCACCGATTTCGAGAATCAGTCACTATCTGACCCACAACATCTACACATGAATATCAAACATGGATAAATTCAAACTATATCATGAAATCATTTCATGAATTTCAAATTTCAGAACAACAATAAAACTATATCATGAATCGGAATCAAATCAGACTATCAAACTTAATTTCATGCAACGAAATGAAGCTATCAAACTTAAACTCAGGAATAATTTCATGAAACTGAACCGGAAACAAATGATTAAAGCATATGCTTCTTTAAGCGCATTTATCAATAAAAAAGAAACAAAAAGGTTAGAAGTTATCCATTGATCTTGTGAAAGAATAGGCAATTAGTGTCAAAACTTGCTAAATGGCCTCCTTATAAAAACAAGAAATGAGATAAAAAAATTCACTTGTGCTATCTCAATTGATTCCCAGTTGTGCTGGGTCTGGGCCTTAACAAAGTTGATCCAGTTACAAAAGAAGCAAATCGGGAAAACAATCGGAAAACGGGAAAAAAGCTCCGACCCTGTTGTATCACCGGAAGCAGATTGTCGCAGCACTAATTCCGGCGGGATTCAAGCTCCACGGCTTTGCGAAGGCACCGAAGGATTAGAACCAACAACAGAAGAACCCGATTTCCGTCGTCGATCCTTTTCCGACGAGCCACCATACCCACTACGGAACTCCCAGAATGCACAACATCCAACATCCGGCATCGACGTTCTCAGATCCCGACCAAGCAACCTGAGAAGCTCAGACCAAACCCCTCTCTCCCATTTCCGAAAATCCCCAATCTTCCCCGAGCAGAACCCAATCAAACCGGTCCGGTGGAAACAAATCGCGGAAGAAACAAATAGCTGACGGCTCACTCAAGCCCACCTGAATCCTGAATCCGCGACCGCCATCTTAGATCCGCAAAGATCTACAGTTAACCACGCCGACGAACAACGCTACCCACCTCTCTCCCATCGGCTTCCGCCGTAGCCACCACGCTAGATGAGCGGTTGAGCCGCGAAAAGACTCCAAGCACCTCACCGGCGTCCTCAACCGAGAGGCCCTGCTACGAAGCTTCTCTTCCGTCAAACCAGAACCATAGCTACGCCGGCCTAATTATATTTGTAAACAGAATTGTTTTAAAAGGGCTAAGGATCCTTTAAAAATAGGCAAAAGCCCATGAGCCCATCTTGGCTTTGTTCCCTAATTAGATTTTCGTAAAATAAAAGAAAGATAACATCTTTCATATCCACCCACACACCTTCGTCTTCTTCTCCTCTCGAACATATCTGAAAAATAATGCCGTGTTCTAAACTTTCGAATTTGGCACTCTCTTTCGATTCCGATGGGCTGCGTCCTCCAAAAACGCCGTTCAGCCGCTGCGTTATAGTCGTCTGTCGATGTTCAGGCCAATGGCGCCGATCATTTTCTCTATTCGCGGAGAGTCATCGTTCATCGTCGATGTCACCGTAAGTAATTTGTTTTTACTTTTTCTTTTTTTACCCCACAGATAAGTTTGGGTGCACTGTATCTACACTAGGTTGTTCCTATGGGATTTTTGCTCATTTCAAATTTTTTCACATCCGAAAGATTTTCCCTCTTCTCTTTAAATATCTCCCTCTTCTCCTAAAAACTTTCTAAACTTTCTCATTTTAATCCATCTGAATTCTCTCCAGCAGATTCTAATTTCTTCCTCTACTCCTCTCAACAATGGCGGCACCAAATCCTCCTCCTCATATTGGCCCTATTGGCCCTCTCCGTAGACCAGGCTGGTACAATCTCCAGACAATCCATGAAAATCACGGTATGGCTATCTAAACATTCTTTCCGATTCAT